CAAAAAAAAAAAACTAAATAGTAATATTATTGAAATTAAGGATTTTCTTCACAATTATATATCTCGTAATTAGGCCTGTGTTTTTATCTCACAATTCTGAGTTTAAATTGCAAGAAAAAATATATAATTGTGAGATATGTGTATATATATAATAAAAAAATAATAATAATGTTATTCCGTGGTGGAAACAAAACAGGCTTCCGTATGTAGCCACAGATTCTGTGTTCCACGTGAAACTAACACCTTATGGGTTTGGAACAACATGATGAGGAATAAATAATGAAAATGTTCATTTTAGCTGAACTATTCGTTTAACAGCTTTGGCAGAACTCTGAATCAACAACCCACCTGATGTAAATTTATTAGATATTTTTAAAACTTCCCTTAAAACATTTTTTTTCAGGATTGCTTTTATTTGATTAGTTTTCTATTGAATTGTTCTTTACTGTTGTATTTACAGTGCATTGCTCTATACTGTTGTTTTTGCCTTTGTGTAAAGCTTTTATGTAAAGTGCCTTGAGAAAGCCACTTTTAAAGGTGCTATATAAAATAAATGTATTATTATTATTATTATTATTAAATGTTCTGTAGTTGATCTTTCAGTATGCATGTGTGTGTGTGTGTGTGTTTCAGAAACTGACAGCAGGCCGGCCATGTTTCTGCTGAGCAGCACTCTAGGAGGAATCTTCCTCGGTCTGCTCCTGCTGCTGCTTCTGTCGGTGCTGTATGTGCAGCAGAGGAAAAGACGCGAGTTCGAGCCTCTCCTGAATGCAGAGTTCACCACCACAAAATACACAGAGGAAGCGTAATTCACATCCACACACATCAGCGGCCCTGTCCCAAATCCTCATGCCCTGAAGTGAAATGGTTTTGGAACAGATCCAGTGCACGCAGAGCAAAACACATGAAGATAATTGCAAAAATTCACTAAATCACAAACTCTTTTGATGGTTGGTAAGAGAGGAGCAATGATTCAACAAGTCTGCTAAATTGTATCAACCGCCATGAAATGTATAATAAGCACTTGAACGTGGAAATGAGAAAGCACATATTTATATACACTACACTGTAAAAAACACAGCTGTATCTACCGTATACCACAGCTGCCGGTTTTTACCGTAAAAAATACGGTAGCAACATTTTAGGTTTTACGGTTTTAACTTAAATTTACAGTTAAATACCGTAATTTCATTAACTGATATAATGTTAATATACCAACCTATTGAAGTACTGAAATCTGTTTTGTACCTTTGTGATACACTGATAACCACCAAATGCAGGAGGTGATGGAAAATGTCCAAAGCCCATCACAAGCAGCTTTTAAATTAACTTAAATTAACACATATATAGAAGGTGCACAGTGTGTCATTCACAGAAACACTAAACAACCTCATGCTAACACATGTGAAACTGAAATAATGCAATAAACATTCACTTAACAACATTAGATGTAACACAAAATCCTAATATACAAAACTGATAAGAAAAAAAACTAAGAAGAAACATAGTTATTTCAACAAAAAAACATCAAATTTCAAATGTAACGCAGGGAATTCTGGGAATGTCAAATTACGGTTATTCACTGTAAATTATACAGTCTTTTTCCCTGACTCTGTACAGTATAAAAACCATTATGCCTATGGGATGTCCCCACTTTTCACAAATGTAAACCTGTGTGTGTGTGTGTGTGTGTGTGTGTGTGTGTGTGTGTGTGTGTGTGTGTGTGTGTGTGTGTGTGTGTGTGTGTGTGTGGAAATCTCTAATAAAAACAAAGATAATTGCACATCTTAATATCAAAGTGCATTATATTACATTCTTTTAAAATCTGGGCAAAAAGCAGTAAATTATCTCATGAAGCACAGTAAAATGTAATTAGTAACTGCTAAAAAAAACACTTTCTTAATCAGAATTTATGTATTTTTTTCAGTAAGAATCTAAATACCTTTAAAACAAGATTTTTCCCCTTTTTAAAGCATAAAATCTTACGCAAAAAAAAAAGAAAGGCAAAGAACTCAAGACATATTCTCTTGAAAACAATCTAGATTCTCAACGAAATACTCTTGATTAAAGAATATATATTTTGTTGCAAAAATTCTGATTAAGAATATGATTTCCGCACCACAAGTGTACATATTAATAAGACTAATACTGAAAGGTAAGAGCAAAAAAAGGATTTGCCAAGGAAAACGTGATGAAAATAAGTAAAATTAAAATCTTCTAAATATAAAAATAACACAGCCAGCCTTAATTCTCCACTGACAAATTAAATATGGACTTTCATGAAGCTGATGTTTTATAAGGGATTTATGACCAACAATGTATAGTTTCTCAAAACACTACCATCCAGGTCATTTAGGTAGAAAACATGATTAAAAACACACATTTAAAGTATCACAAATCTATAATTCTTTCCATGGAATGGTATTATTGTTTACAATCATCCATTCATATACACAAAAATGTCCCCACCAACTGCATAAGCACTTGTGCAAATTAAACAGTAACTGTGCAAATGATTTCTCATACACAGGGACACAGAATAAGAATCTCCGACTGAAACACTTTGAAGGGATGAAAACTGGCATAAGATTTCACAAAAAACTAAAAACCTGAAACAACAGAATACTGCGAATCACATTTCAATTGCATTCACTGCCATTCAATAGTTTAGAGTCGGTAATATGCTTTTGAAAGAAGTCTCTTCAGCTTCACCAAGGCTGCATTTATTTGATTAAAAATACAGTAAAAATGTGAAATATTATTGCAAATTAAAACAGTTGTTTTCTATGTGAATATATGTTAAAATCGAATTTATTCTGTGATGCGCAGCTGAATTTTCAGCATCATTAGACACATAAGCACTTGTGCAAATTAAACAGTAACTGTGCAAATGATTTCTCATACACAGGGACACAGAATAAGAATCTCCGACTGAAACACTTTGAAGGGATGAAAACTGGCATAAGATTTCACAAAAAACTAAAAACCTGAAACAACAGAATACTGCGAATCACATTTCAATTGCATTCACTGCCATTCAATAGTTTAGAGTCGGTAATATGCTTTTGAAAGAAGTCTCTTCAGCTTCACCAAGGCTGCATTTATTTGATTAAAAATACAGTAAAAATGTGAAATATTATTGCAAATTACAACAGTTGTTTTCTATGTGAATATATGTTAAAATCGAATTTATTCTGTGATGCGCAGCTGAATTTTCAGCATCATTAGAGAGTCGGTAATATGCTTTTGAAAGAAGTCTCTTCAGCTTCACCAAGGCTGCATTTATTTGATTAAAAATACAGTAAAAATGTGAAATATTATTGCAAATTACAACAGTTGTTTTCTATGTGAATATATGTTAAAATCGAATTTATTCTGTGATGCGCAGCTGAATTTTCAGCATCATTAGACACCAGTCTTCAGTGTCACATGATCTTCAGAAATCATTCTAATATGCTGCTTTGCTGCTCAAGAAACATTTCTGATTATTATCAATGTTGAAAACAGTTGTGCTGCCCAATATTTTTGTGGAAACGGATACATTTGATTTTTCAGGTTTCGCAGATGAATAGAAAGTTTAAAAGAACAGCATTTATTTGAAATATAAATCTGTTGTAACATTAAAAATGTCTTTACTGTCACTTTTGATCAATTTAATGCAACCTTGCTGAATAAAAGTATTACTTTTTAAAAAATATACTGACCCCAAACATTTAAATGGCAGTGTGTTTAATCAGATTTGATCAATTATATGAAGACTGCTAGTGTTGCATAAATGAATGCAGAACTAGTTAATATTATATGCAAAAATGACATAATATGTGCATGAGAACTAAACGCTGTAATGCAGATTGATTTATTTCCTCTAATTTCTCAGAACCTGTCCAAATAATCTTTTTTAATTAATCTAGATATTCTCTTCCACGCTCACGAAAGCTATACATGCATGAAAATGTTCAAAAATGTGTGTGAGAAGAATACATAAGAAGACCTTAATAATCTTCAAAATATAAAAGATAAATGTGTTGCAGTTAAAGGGATAGTTCACACAGTCCTCCCCCTGTATGATGTTACTGGTCTCAGTGGACACACAAAATATGACATTTTAAGTACCAGTATGCATTTTTTTGTTTACACAAACTGTCAATCTCCAAATAAAAGCATACAGGTTCGTGTGAGGGTGAGTAAATAGTTTTGGGTGAACAATCACTTTAAAGGAATAGTTCACGCAAAAAATGAAAATTTGCTGAAAATGTACTCACCCTCAGTCCAACCAAAATACAGTATGTAGATGATTTTGTTTCTTCATCAGATTTGGAGAAATGTAGCATTGCATCAGTGTCTCATCAATGGATGCTCTGCAGTGAATGGGTGCCGTCAGAATGAGAGTCCAAACAGCTGATAAAAACATCACAATAATCCACAAGTAATCCACACCTCACCAGTCCATCAGTTAATGTCTTGTGGAGCCAAAAGAAACCATTGCTTCCAGCTAAAATACAAATCCATACTCCATTATAAACCATTTCCTCCAGTGAAAAAGTGTTCTGGTCTGAATCAGGAGAGAAATCTGCACAGATCAAGCACCGTTTACAAGCCAAAACTGCTCTAAACAAACATGTGGCTGGATTTTGATGTGAAAGACAACAGGAGATTTTCAACGGAGGAAGCATTATTATGGATTATGGACTCATATTTTAGCCAGAAAAATATTGTTGCAGCTTTTGACTTCTCAAGACATAACTGATGGACTGGTGTGGATTACTTGTGGATTATTGTGATGTTTTTATCAGCTGTTTGGACTCTCATTCTGACGGCACCCATTCACTGCAGAGCATCCATTGCTGAGACACTGATGCAATGCTACATTTCTCCAAACCTGATGAAGAAACAAACTCATCCTAATCTTGTATGGCCTGAGAGTGAGCACATTTTCAGCAAATTTTCATTTTTTTAGGTAAACTATTCCTTTAATCTACTATACTGGAAATGTAAAAAAAAACTTGACATCTTTCATATATCAGATGTGTAATGCTTACGACCCTTTTGAAGAACTTCCATCATGCAAAACCTGCCGCTCGGTGGTCTTTGAATCAGGAAGAACGGCCTCAAAGTCTTCAGACGGCTGAGATCAGTGGTTCAGTCTGATATAAAACACAAGCAGTCTGTGCGGAGCTCAGCGGTCACTATCTCCAGTGCTCTTTCAAGGCCAGCGCAGCGAAGACCAGCAGCAGCAGCAGCAGCAGCAGGTTGGGCTGGATGATGGAAGCAGGAGATGTTTCATCTGTTTTCTCTGCTTCTTGAACTGGAGCGTCAGTGATGAAGGAGTCTGATTCAGTGACACACGTCTCAGTGCAGCCGCTGCCGCTGCCAGAAGCACTGCTCTCGTCATCTGAGGAGTTATGCATCCAAAATAAATATATCTGACTTCATGCAACTACCCTGAAGCAGACTTTATGCCAAAAGTCAAAGTTTTGGCAATGCACGACTATTAATGCCCTTTGCAAACTACAATGAAAGCAGTGACGATTGCATTAAGACGATGCATGCATAAAATCTCACCCAAATATTGTCTGATCGAGTTTATCTAAGCACAGATAATCAGTTGCATTCCACTCTTGTTTTAAGTTCATTATTTTAATCAATAATGGTGTTAAATATATCTGTCCATTCAGAACAAATCCATGCAATAAATCATATATCTGATATTCTATAATTAAACAGGTTTAATACTGCTAATCAGCCAAATAAGTTTAAAATACTTATACTATGCATATATTAAATAAAACGCCTACATTTGTTTACATATGTTTTGAAAATACTAATATATACTATTATATCAATACATATGAATTAGAGGTTTATTTGATTTGCTGATAAAATAATGAGATAATTGTGCTGATATTGTGTGAAATCTATATGTTAAATAATGTTCTTAGTTTCCTTCCAATGACAGGGTGACTTGGAGAGAAGAGTTTAATGTTTAATTAAACACCAGATACAGTTTATTATACAACCGAAATACCAATAATAACCAGAAAAAAGGAGATTTTATGCATTAATACTCCCAGCTCATTCAAAAAGATGAGGGAGATAAAATATGCACTTTACAATAATCGACAACATATTAGAAAATAAAAACAAAATAAATATTATTATAATTCATCAATAGTATATCATAAGTACTCGTTTTCATAAACTGCGATCTGCTCTGAATATGTGAGTCTGTAGAATGTGCCACATTTTGATTTTGAACATGCATATTTATTATTTAATTAACTCATCGCCTTGTGAAGCTTTATAATCACATTAGGCCATATCATATTCCTCGTTTTCCATCCCCAACTTTAAGACCTCATTACATGATAATGACTTTTGTTATAACATTGAAACTATTTAAGACTTGCTATCACCTTAAAGTTGATCAGACTGGATTTAAGACCGCTTACATATTTCACTGAAGTTTCTTTAACATTTAGCTTTTGTCTGTAAATACTGGAAAACTACAGTTCTGGGCTCGGTTAGTTATTTTCATCAAGTAACTTCTTTAGCAGTGCAGACATCAAATCTGAGCGTGCCATTATTCAATTATTATTAAAACACACCGTGACTTACTTGAGTCCTGAAAGTAGATGTCATTGCCGTCATAAGCGTTCTTGAGTTTGTTGGTCATCACCTTGAGAGCCATGATCTGCTGTCGAATCAGAGTGTCCGGTCTGGAAATGTCCACGCCCACCTCTGGGTTCTTCGCTTGATTGGTCAGTCCGTCTTTCAGCACCTCAGGGACGTATCTGGAGAGAAAAAAACAACAACTCAGTTGTTGTGCAAATACAATGCATTAATATTCAAATGTGTCCCAATATTATTTGACTATTGATAATCCATATAAACATGTCAGACTAACTCTGGCCAGTGCATACACATTATACAAGTGTTATTTTAATATTGTGTGAATAATATTATAGCTTTTTTTTATTAATATTTTAAATTAGCTTTTATTTGTACATTTTCAGTTTTCATTTGAATTTAGTTTTTACAAGTTTTATTTATTATGTGTATTTGTCATTTTTATTATTTCTGTTTTTATTTACTTGCTTGTTTGTTTTTTAGGTTTATTTTCATTTCAGTTTTAGCTTTTCATTTCCTTTTAGTAATTTTAGCACAAATATATATATTTTTTATAATATAATATAATATAACATAATGCAGTATTTATAATTTAATTTAATTTAATATAATAATGCAGTATTTATAATATAATATAATATAATATAATAATGCAGTATTTATAATATAATATAATAATGCAGTATTTATTAAACTGTATAATAATTACATTTAATTAATATTCACAATTTTGATCTCACAAGTGTCTCCCCACGAGAACGGTATCCAATAATGGAAAACAAATTTCAGCACTCCAACTAGTTAAAGGGGTCATGTAATAATTTTCAAAAATAATAATTTCTAATAATGCATATTTTTTAAATAGTCTTTTTTCACTAGAGATGAGGTTTTGGGTTCAAAACGTTACAGTATGTTTCAGAGTACAATAAACTCTTTTAAAAACAAACAAATAAGGAGATAACTGAGAAGAGCATCTCCAGATCTTCTTCATAAGAGCTGTGCGCTGTCTGCCATATTACAAGGTAGATGTGTAAACGGTCTCGACCTATTGTGCAAGGACTCCACACATCCACAGCTGTGCAGATGCTTGATTCCAGATGTTTTACCTGCCCTTGTCGTGTCCGTTCCAGCAGTCGTCCACAGCGCTCTCTGCAGCCGCCACATGCTCCTCCTGACAGAAGGCCTCAGGAAGTGAAGACCAGAACTTCCTGAACTTCTTCAGCTTCTCCTTGACATCAGTCACCTGGAGGATGGCATAAAGACGACCGCTAAAACAACTGTACTGTAAGCCATTGAACAATTCTTTATCATGACTACTTTTAAGATTTTAGAATAACAGCACCATGAAAACTATGGAAACTTGGAATTAACGTAAACGGAAAATCATGTAAATCTGCAAATTATTTATTCGACTCAAAAACCTTAAATGAAAACGTCATATTTTATAAATAAAGATTTATTGGTTTACAAAACCAGTTTCAAGCACTTCAGCAGAAGCCTTTATAAGACGATATTTGAAGGCCCATTAATATATGTGTGCTACTTCTGTTGTAATGTTAAAGCTTCTCGTTTTTATTTACAGACACTAGGAATGTCAATATTTTACAAAAAATAAATAATTAAAATAATGAAATTCCAGAAGTTTCAATTAGTGTTATTTTAGTATAATTGGAAAAAAAAAACTGTAATAGATTTATTAATAGTTTAAATTAGTTTCCCATTTTCATTTTAATTAATTTTGTTGTGTTTTTCTCATTTTAGTTATTTTTGTTAGTAATCAAGTTAAACTCAATTAAAATGAGAAATATTGCTTTGGCAACTAGATTAAATAAAATACGCATTTTTATGTAAGTATTTTACTATTATTTTAAACAAACAACAAAAATAAAAAAACTATATATATAAAATAATATAATATTTAAAAAAAACTAAGTATTTTTCATATTTCAGTTCATTTTTGCTTGATTTCAAGTACCTGATATGTTATGAAATGTTTTCATTCGTTAAAAAAAAATCATTATGAAATAAACATTTCTATGAAATAACTTTTCCAGGTCTAGAAAACACTTTTACATTTCTCCTCATACAGTATATCCACGTTTTCAAATACCATTTCTTAAAGAATTCAGTAAAGTCAGCGTCCAACATTTTGACCGATCATGTTCCTTGTAAATGAAAAGATCCCTCATTATTCAGGATTCATTTTAAGAATCAATCCAGCAAGCATGCAGATCTCATGCTTCAGCACTAGAGGGCGCGAGAAAGAACAACTTGAAATCGCATCATATGACCCCTTTAAAATTATTAATAATGATATAGTGCGTGGATAAGGTAAATATGTTGTTGTTGTTTTTTTTGGCTAAACCATTCCTTTAATATTTGTTATTAACACAAAACCGGTCATAAGGGTAAATTTTTTGAAATTGACATTTATGCATCATCTGAAAGCTGAATAAATTAGCTTTCCATTGATGTATGGGTTGTTAGGATAGGACGATAATCTGGATGAAAATGAAAATCTGGAATCTGAGGGAGCAAAAAAATCTAAATATTGAGAAAATCGCCTTTAAAGTTGTCCAAATTAAGTTCTTAGCAATGCATATTACTAATCAAAAATGAAGTTTTGATATATTTACGGTAGGAAATTTACAAAATATCTTCATGGAACATGATCTTTACTTAATGTCCTAATGATTTTTAGCATAAAAGAAAAATGCATAATTTTGACCCATACAATGTATTTTTGGCTGTTGCTACAAATATACCCCAGCGACTTAACACTGCTTTTGCGCTCCAGCATCACATTTAACAAGTATTGACTAATGTGACCTACATTAAAGAAACACCATATGTACTAAGGCTTCTGATCCTGCCAGACATAAGAAAAAAAAATACTGCAAAAATGAACTAAATTTATGATATGTCCAGTTGCTTTGAAAAGAATTTGACCTGTTGTTGCCTCATTAAACATGGCTCAAGTACTAACTTTACCATTAGAACAGATATATCACTAAATGCCAGCAATAGAACAATCTGAAAAAGAGGGACAGACAGAAAGGATGGAGATATAGACATGACAGAAATATCTTCAACAACAACTCTTCCTCCATAATCCAGTTTAAAGGAACATTTCACTTAAAATGATTAATGAACTACCTGTTTAAGGCACAAAACTACATTTGTCAAAACAGTACTATACCGTAATTAATCACAGTAAAGTAAGACAACTGTTTTGTATAACGATTTTTTTTTGAAAATGTGATTAAATATGCTAATGATACATTATTTAATCAAATATGCATTATTTTGCATACATTACAGAAGATAAATCTGAACACTGGATAAAGCCAGGTTCAAAATTCTTGTTTAATTTTGTTGATATATTAAAGTTTTGTTTTTGTTTTTTTACAGAGGGGAGTTTGGATTTCTCCGATATTGCTTAATAAATGATTTCTGAAGATCATGTGACACTGAAGACTGGAGTAATGATGCTGAAAATTCAGCTTTAATCACAGGAATAAATTACATTTTACAATATATTCAAATAGAAAACAGCTGTTTAGATTCTATTAATATTTTACAATTTTTACTGTACTTTTGATCAAATAAATGCAGCCCCGGAGAGTATAAGTGCCACGTCAATCTTTTTATTAGTTACTCGTTTTCTGATAATAAACTTCACACTCATAACGTTCATCACGACCGTCTTAATTTATCAACCCACCACCAGATGACAGTTTATTAATGCAACTGTTTCAAGCAGAGAAGCTGTGTAAAATAAAGCTGATTAAAGTGAAGCTTCATGCTGTTTCTGGAGTGAGTGCTGAGCAAACCTCCTCTCAGGACGGCCCGTCTGCTCTCTTGAGGTGCAAAAACACCTTATCATAATTGAGACCGTGCTCCTCGTTAGCTTACTGACAGATATAAAGTACAGCAGGACGTTTTCACAGCTGCCAAAACTTCCAATAGGAGCTACACGGAATACACACAGAGAACTGATTTCACACTCACGACACACTCATCAGCTACAAACCTGAGTCTACACCAGAAACAAATAATATTACATTGTGAAAAGCAGGAATAAATGACTTTTTAAAATACATTCAAGTAGAAAAGTTATTTTAAATTGTAATAATATTTCACAGTTTTCACTGTATTTTTGATCAAATTAATGCAGCCATGGTGAGCAGAAGAGACTTATCTCAAAAACATTCAAAACATTTTTACCAACCCCAAATTCTTAAACGATACACTGTAAAATTCTGTAAAATTTACGGTAAAAAACACGTAAAAAATACGGTAGCAACGGTTTAGGTTTTACGGTTTTAACTTAAATTTACAGTTAAATACCGTAATTTCATTAACTGATATAATGTTAATATACCAACTTACTGAAGTACTGAAATCTGTTTGGTAGCTTTGTAATACACTGATAACCTCCAAATGCAGGAGGTGATGAGAAAGTCACATGATGAACCAAAGCCCATGACAAGCAGCTTTTAAATAATAACATACTGTATATAGAAGGTGCACAGCGTCATTCACACAAACACTAAACACCATCACGGTAACACACATGAAACTGAAATAATGCAATAAACATTCATTTAACAACATTAAGTGTAATACACAACCCTAACATACAAAACTGATAAGAAAAAACTAAGAAGAAACATAGTTATTTCAATAAAAAAAACATCAAATTTGAAATGTAACGCAGGGAATTCTGGGAATGTCAATTTACGGTTATTCACTGTAAATTATTCGGTCTTTTTCACTTCCAAAAACAGTATACTACCGTAAAATTAATGTCCAATACATGATATGTCCAATACAGTTTTTCACCGTATATAGTAGGGGAATTTACCGTTAACCATTTAACAGGTTTTTACTGTAGCATTTTTACAGTCTTTTACCGTTAAATTCACGGTCGTTTTTTACAGTGTAGCACATGTGCACACGAACTAACAAAAACATTACATTAGATTTACAAATGTAACAAAATTAGAAAAAAAATGTTTTTTTAGAACAAACTGTTTGGATACATTGACAAATTATAAATAATATAATTTTAGACAGGCAAGAAAATAATGTAGCTAGGCATCAAAAACATTACATTAAAAAACAAAAACAAATACAATTAAATAAATATGCGAAGACTTCAGATGCAAAAACCTATAAGTCTGTCTGAGATTTTATAAAAATCTTTTAAATTGACATTTTTATCAGGCTCCTGTGTTTAGGTTCAGTACATTCACTTCACATTGAAACGGTTATTAGTCAGCTATTGAATCCTTGTTTTCAAACATGTCCAATATTATTTTCATAGGAGCCGGATTTTTAGATGGACTTGCATCTGAAGTCTTCATATATACAGTACATAATATAAAAAATAAACAATAAAGTAAAATAAATAAAAACAAATAAATAAAAAGGAATTAAACATATTATAAACAATAAAATAAAATAAAAATAAACTTTTAATTGAATACATAAACAAACAATTAAACAAAAAACAAATAATAAATGGAATAAATCATATATGAACATAATAAAAACAAATTGAAAAAAATCCATAATATTGATGTTTTGCAAGTGTCCAGTGTTAAAAGTGTCAAATGAAATGATATATTTCCCTGTCTATAGTTTCTGACATTAAAGGGTTTGCGATTGTCATGCTAACCGATCGCTCTCTCCATAAATGACAGACCTCTTAGTCAGATTGTGCCACATGCGTCCAGTGTATAAGAGCAGCAGCATTCACTAGAGCTTCATCTGTAAAATCAGTGATTTCACAATCACTGTCTTTAACCCGCACCCACATGAAAATCAATGTCTGCTGTACATGCGGCTCTCCAAAAGCAGATCTATACGCCAATAATTGCTCCAGAGTCCTGAATATAATCAGTCGCTGACTAAAAACAAGACATGGGTTCATTTCTGCTCCGCTCCAGCCATACGGATGAATGTTTGGCCAGTGCTGTTTGTCAGGCTGCAATCAGCAAAGCACAAAATATGCCTTTAAATAAACACAATCTAAACAAATCTGACCTCGTCATGTTTACTTTTGTGTGGTGAGTTCTGAAAGTGATGATTATGCTCATGCATCTATAACGCATATCTGCCTATTTGAGCTTGAGTAAACAAAAACACGTCCAGAAAAAAAAAAAGATGAATGACCTGCACTGTGTTCCAGGAAAAGAAAAATGCTATTTCAAGCCACTATAGTGTTTCAGAAAATAA